ATACTTCCTGCCTGGCTACTGGCCAATCAGTGTTTTATTTATTAACCAATCAGAGCAATACTTTTAACATACAGAACATCCCATAGCATACCACAAAACCCAAACCCAACCCACGAGACCTCATGTATAGAAGACAGGTAAATACCAGTGGGTATAAAGTCCTCCTTCAGTCCTGATAGTTGGTATTTGAGTATCTATATTTGTTTTTTGAGACAAGGTTTCTCTGTGTAGCCTTGGCTGCCCTGGAACTCGCTCTGTAGACCAGGCTGACTTCAAACTCAGAGATCCGCCTGCCTCTGCCTCCCGAGTGCTGTGATCAAAGGTGTGCACCATCACCACCTGGTGAGGTGTAAGTATATTGACTTAGTTTTGTTCTATGGATATAAAACAGAGAGGTTTAGTGAAATTCTGTAGGCCACTCAGAAACCTCTAGCTGGCTATCCAATGAGATTTTTGGTCATATTAATTACTATTAATTAATTATTATAATTAATATTATTAATTAACTGTTTCATCTAAAATATTTATTTTATTATTTACTTGTGTCTGCATCTGTGTCTGCAGGGGGATGTGTATATGTACACGCAGGTGCCCATGGAGGACAGAAGAGGGTGTGGGATCTAGAAAGGAGCTAGAATTGCAGGAGATTGTGAGCTGCCTGGGATGGGTGCTGGGAACCAAACAACTGTGTGTTAGCATTCAGACCCTCTTCTTGGAATCCTGGTCAATAAGCAGACAATACTCTGGCTCGCCCAGTGTCCTGATATCATCCTATGTGCTCATTCCCTTTAAGAAAGGACTCCTCCCCCTTGGCATGCACTCTCTCCCCCTCTCACCATGAGGTTGCATGCACCTCCTCCCTCTCTCTCTCTTTCCCTCTCCTTTCTCTCTCCCCCCACCAAATAAAACTCTCCACTGAGCGCTGTCTGCATGGCATCTCTGTCTCTCACCCACCCTGGGGCACCTTGGCTCCACCTGCGAAGGCCTCTCTCTTGTCATATCACAACACTGTGTTCCTCCCAGCTGCTGAGCCATCTCTCCCACCCCTATTTTTAATAAATTAATTCATTAATTTTATTTATTTTTTAAATAACATCTTAAGAAAAAGGCTTTGTGGTCTGTAGAGATGGCTCAGCGGTTAAGAATTGCTGCTCTTCCAGAGGTCCTGAGTTTGGTTCCCAGCACCTACATCAGGTGGTTCACAACCACCTGTAACCACAGTTTCAGGGGATCCGACACCCGACACCCTCTTCTTGCCTCCAGCTGTCACCACACACACACACACACACACACACACACACACACACACACACACACACACACACACACACACTGGTGTGTTAGGATTCTGTGCCACTCCAGCTACATGACTGCATATGTGCAGTTTGGGGTCTTATGTCTTACATCATCAGTGTGCACTGATGACTACGTATGCACCTTAAAAGCCGGATGCAGACCCCACCCTCTCTCTGCTCTTCGCTCTCTCTCTGCTCCTCCGCCCCCATCTTTCTCTCTCTCCAAGCCTGGCTCTCCTCTTTCCCCTGCCTCCCTTTTCCCTCCTAATAAAGCTCTGAAAACTGACACAGGGTTCTGTTGTGACCGTGACCTTTCTGCTCGGTGACCAGTGCCGTTTGCCATCTTTCCAAGGTGCCCAGGCATCCATGCAGGCAAAACACTGATACACGTAAAGCCAAAGTAAAAACCAACTTTAAAAAAACATGGGTTTTATGTGAAATTTTAAATTCCAGAGACTTCTTCCTCCCTTGCCTCTTTTGGCAAAAGTCTTTGAAAGGAAGTCTATTGTTTCTGAATTATAGCAATTAAAGATATACCCTGAATGGTTGGTTCTCCCACGCAAACCCCTTACAAACCAACAAACAACAAACAAACAAACAAACAAAGTAAGCGATTTCGACAGAACTGGGACGCGGCAAGCAAGCAAGTCAATTAAGGCTGCTTTTTTTTTCTTTTTTTTCTTCCGAGAACCACATAAACGTAAAAGCGCCACATATTTGAGCCGTTTTAGCAGTTTTCCATCTGTTTTTGTTGTCTCAAGAAAGAAAGACAGTTTCTGGGGCAGGTCTGGGAGTTGTGGGTGACTTACAGGTCATCACAGGGCTTCGGATGGCTCTGGAGTTTGGGTCAGGATCTGCCCTTCCCCGGGTTCCAGGTTTTTTTTACTTTCTTTTGGCTTGAGGAACGAAGCCCTGTGCATGCTGGGTGGGCAGAGCCACATTGTGGGCCGCCCTTCAGACACATTTTCCACAGGCACCCATGTCTTCTTGGGCATAAACAGGCTGTCGCTGAATGCACAACCAGCCAGGAGATTCTGTAAATTGAATCCTCCATCTTCTGCTAATATGGCTTTTGGCAATAAAGCCATTATCTCAAAGTGCCATAAAAGGCATCTTGAGCCCCCCTCCTCCTTTTTTTTTTTTTCCTCTGTTGCGGGCTCAGCAGGGAGTTTATTGCTATTTAGAACTCTGATTGCTAAATGCTAAAGGAGGCAGGTCACCCTGCAGTAAGTGGATAGACAGGCCTCTGAGGTGCCACTTGCTGCCATTCAGGGTGACTGACAGACGTTTTCAGTGGTATAGCCTAAGACTCCATGAGAGCAAGCCTCCTCATGGTGTCTGAGTTGCTTTGGTGAAGATCAGTAAGTCCAATCAATGGGACCTGTTTGAAGTCTGGTATTGTGAAAGTTTAGATGGGCGTAGAACAGGAAAGAATGTCCCGTGAGAAGCGATTTGCAGAGTCAGCTTCACATCTGTAAATCCTGTGCTCAGGAGCCTGAGGCAGGAGGAGCCTGAGTTTAAGGGAAGTCTGGGCTACAGTGTGAGGCCCTGCACACACATGCACAACTTCTTCCCACATATATACATAAGTGAAACTAAAAATCCTGGAATTACGTTTTCTAATTTTTGGGGGGTGGAGGGTTAGTACCTGTCTAAGTTAGCTTAATGCAGGAATGATTTATTTTAGTTCATGGCTTCAGTCCACTGTGGCAGGGGTTCACCCGTGGGGAGTGGGGAAGGGTGGCTCCTCCACCATGGTGAATTAGTGTGGCAAGCACATACCCCGGTTACAGGGGAGGAGTAATCACTCTTGATTTAGACTTGGTATAACACTCATTTATTCACACAATAAGATTACAAGCAATATTTATCCCATCTTCCAAGTGGAAGCAGGAATACCTCACCGGGCGTACAGGTGCGGATCTCGGGTCAGCCTTCCTGTGGTCAACCTCGTCTCCCTGGCAGAGGAGAGTCGTCTCATGTGAGAAGCTCTGTTGGTCATGTCCGAGGCTTCCTCTTTTATACCCCTTTCTGGGTAGGTTCTAGTCTTCTCAGTACTTCCACACATCGCTTATCACTACCCATTTATGGTTTCTTTACGTCATTCTGTTGCTTATCACTCCTGACTAGGGTTGATCACCCTAGGTCTTACGTGTTCCTTACAATTAGGAAGCACAGGGCAAGGCCAGACTTCAGAGGCCTACCCTAGTCACCGACTCTGTCAGTCAGGCCCCACAGCCTCCCCTCAAACAAATGCCACCAGCTCGGGAGCAACAGGGTGGACAGAGGAGCCTCTTGGGGACATTTCATTTTCCGTCCACAGCAGTACAATCATTATATTGAAGCTTTTTCTCAATCTCTTGGGGTTTTATAGTTGGTATTTTGAAAATCAGAGTATCTACTTTTAATTATGATATAGCTATGCTGTGTGTGTGTGTGTGTGTGTGTGTGTGTGTGTGTGTGTGTGTGTGTGTGTGAGAGAGAGATAGGGTGGTTGACTGTAGCAGAGGTAGATCTGGAACTCGCTGTACAGCCCAGCCTTGGATTCCCAGCAATTCTCCTATATCAGTCTCCCAAGCCCTAGGGTGGCGGATTGGTTTCACCGTGACTGACTTTAGAATATCTATTAAAAAATAAAAAGGAGGCTGGAGAGATGGCTCATGGACTAAAAACACTGGCTGCTTTTGCAGAGAACCTGGGTTCTATTGCCAGTATCCACATGATGGCTCACAACCATCTGTAAATCCAGTTGTAGGGGATCTGATGCCCTCTTCTGGCCTCTGCAGGTACTACATGCACATGATATACATGCTTGTAGGGAAACACACATATACATAAGAGTAAAAAAAAAATCTTTTTTGAAGGTAAGAATCTTGGTTTTTCCTCATTATTTTGAAATACAGCTTTTTTCCAGTCTTAGGTGATACCTATAAATGGTTAAGACATCCAGATTTTCCTTTATACAACTGAAAATGCTTTTTTTTAACCATAATGAGAAAAAAAACCTTTACAAATGAATATTACCATTATGCCTCAATAGTCCTTTAGATTTGATAAGGTAATATCTTCCCTGCTTTCTTTGAAAAGAATTATTCCCATATCTCTGTTTTGTTTGTATTTTGAGAGAGAGTCTCTCTGTAGTCCAGGACAGCCTCCAATTCCTGATTCTCTTACCCAGCCTCCCGAGTGCTGGGATCTCAGGTATGCAGGATGCCTACCTCCTAGTCCACTTTCTTTGGAGTTTTTGTTTACCTCCATTTCTAGAAAATTTTTGTAATATGTCTTTAGGATTATGAAAATTTTGCCAAGTGAAAGTATCTAGTGTGATTTTTAGACTAACAATAGTTAACTTCAAATTATTTTCATCTAGCTGGGTGTGGTGATATATGCCTTTAATCTCAATACTCAGGAGGTAGAGACAGGAGGATCTTTGTGAGCTGGAGGCCAGCCTGGCTTACATAGTGAATTCCAGGACAACCAACTCTACATAGAGAGACCCTGTCTCAAAAAACAAAAACAAAAACAAAAACAAAATAGTTTCATCCTTCCTTTTGTGATTTTAAGATTGTCTCATGTAGAGATTTTTAGCTTCATATCCCCTGAAGAGAAAAAGAAAGATGAGCTTCAGAGCTTGATTTTACCCACAGGTACACCTCTCTAATTTAAAAAAAAATTTAAATTTTTAAATTTTATTTTATATGTGAGTGTTTTGTCTGTGTATCTGTATGTGCATTATGTATGTGCAGTTCCTGCAGAGGCCAGAAGAGGGCGTCAGATCCTGGAACTAGAGTTGCAGATGGTTGTGAACTGCTATGTGGGTGCTGAGAAATGAACCTGGGTTCTCTGTAAGAGCAACAAGAGCTCTTAAATGCTGATCCATCTCTCCAGCCCAGGTATACCGCTTCTCACTTCCCTTTTTTTTAAATTAACAAAGCTAATGTGAAAGTAAAAATATTGCCTGTTGCCAATTTAACTTCTTTAATTAAAACAGAAAGTTACCAGGCGACAGTGCCATGGGTGAAGTTCTGAAGTCATCAGGGTGAAGAAGTCGGTTTAAAATTAAAACTGTTGGTGTGCTGGTGACTGTACATTCTGGTATCAGGAGTGTCGACACTTAGTTAATGGAAAATGGAGACAACTGCCTGAAACTCTACTAGTATTACCTTTTAAAAATATTATGAAACCGTAAGAGGCGTGACTAGAGAGCAGCCTTGATGAGAGCTGAGCTGCCTTAGGAAGCCCCGAGTTTGGAAGATTAAAGTGTGAAACTCAAAGGAATGTGTATTCCGCCTCTTAAATGAGGTCAGGCAAGGAGCCCTGCTTCCCTTCCATGAGCTCCTTAAGCTGGAGAGTGTTGGAAACAAACAATTCATTCTGGAATGTGCTGAACCCTATGATTAAAAAAAAAATCCCAAAGAACCCCTGGTTTGTGGTCTTTGAGTCAGTCGATGGCTTTAAGGGTTAAATTTTTTTCTGCCTAAAAAGCCAAGTATTCTTCTCCCCTCTCCCTCCCTCCCTTCCTTTTTTTCTAACTTTCTTTTCCTTTCTCCTCTCTTCCCTTCCCCTCCTTTCTCCCTCTCTCCCTCATCTCTTCTCCTTCTTCCTTTTTTTGAGTGTCTTTATCACCATCCCCCATCCCCCATTTCCAATTTCTTAAAAAATGCTCTTTGCAAACTTTGCTGCCCATTTCTGAAGATCGGTGTGTGGTCCATATGGTCCATCCAACCGAATCCCAGCACTTTGAGGAATGATGCCCCCCCCCCCCCCCCCCCCGTGAAAAGCCACACCTTTTACCAGACCTTTCATTTCATAAGCATGAATACATTTTCCCAGTATCAGGATTATTGATTGAGGTGTTTCAGGCACATAGCTACAAAGACTACCATAAAAATGTCCTGGGCTCCAGGACTCACAGGAGAAGTGTAATGGCAAAACTCAGTTCATTTCATGGTGGTTTATCACATTTAAAGTGGGGGGAGACCAAGGGTCTTTGTGCCATGCCTTCCCTGTGTCTCTCAAAAACAGATGCACTGGAGTGTGGTGTATCAGCGAAGGAATCACACATTTCCCTGCTAAGACCACAGCTCCCTGCTTCTGAAATACGTGCCCAGATCCGTAGACATTGAGTCCCAAGGACACTGACACTGTGGATGATTTGTTTTTCAGATGAAGCAACGGTGGCTGACAGAGGGGACTTTTGGACAGCACCAGCCACCAGCTGGAGTGGCTGCCCTGGGCAAACAGAACCCCCTTCCCTTACTGTCCTTAGAGACTCAGAATGCTGGAGGCCACCCCTTCCCTCCCCAAATCAGAGCCACCATGCTCTGCTGCCATGTGACAAGGCAGGGGCACTGGGGCCCATCTGTGCTGGATGTCAAGGCAGAGGCAGGCTGCAAGGCTGGCCTGGGTTCCCTGCCCGCATCTCAGCCCTTGCAAGGCAGTTGCTGCGGTATCCCACGGGGCCTCTGATGGGAAATCTTTCCCCTCCAGGGACCCCTGGAAAGTGATCTCCAACCCTTTCACCTACAAGTTTTGGAGATAGAGTCTTGCCAGATAGCTCAGGCCCACTTGAATTTGCAGTCCCCCTGCCTCAGCCTCCTAAGCACTGTGATCATAAGTGTGCACCACCATTTCCACAGACCCACAGACCCATGACCGCAGCATCTACAGTCAGATTTGATGGTATACATCTCTAATCTCAGCACTCAAGAGGCTGAGGCAGGAGGATTGTTGCCAGTTTGAAGGAATGCATAATAAGACCCTGCCTGAAAACCAACAAATAAAAATAAACAAGTGCCACATAGATAGTGATGATTCCCAAGTTTAAATAAACATTATTAACATGAGTTTTGATCGTCAACTCTGACTGCATACATTTATGGGCTATAATGTGGTGTTTTGGCGTGTATGTACAATGTGGAATGATCAGCTCAAGCTAGTTAGCACTGGCATCACTTTGCACAGTTATTATTTTTTGAGTATGTGGTAAGACATTTGAAATGACACTCTTGGTTGTTTTGAAGTGCGCATTCATCATCACTGACTACAGCCACCCCGCTGTGCAATAGCTCTCAACGGCTACTCCAGTCTGGCTGAACCTTTCTCTTATTGAGTTATGATTCACATGATATAAACATGACTGTTGATCATCTTAAGATGTATAAATTCAGTGCCAGTTAGTGTGTTTACAGTGCTGTCTTGCCACCACGTCTAGCTATTTCCACGCTATATTTATTATTTCCTGCAAAGGAAACCTTGTGTCTACTGAGCTTCTGTCCCCCCAGCACACCCCCATTCTCTCCTCCTCAATGCCTCTGCCCCCACTCATCTTTTCTGGAATGTCATATATAAAGATTCCTAGATGTCTTATTCATTGTCCCAACCACTCAATTTCCTTATTTAATTAACTCATTATTTCCCCTTCCTTATTTAATTAACTCATTATTTTAGAACTTAACACCTTCTTTTGGCTAGTTTCATAGATCTAAACCAGGTACTGTGATCATGTTCAACCCCCATTACTCTCTTGCCCCCCCCACACACACCTGCCGCCCCCCTCCTCCTCAGTGAGTCCGGGTCTTTCTAGTCTTAGGTTTTTGATCCAGTGAGTTTACTTAGAGCTGCTGGGATGAATATGTGTGTGTGGCGGGTGTTCACTAGCCCAAGGGCAACTTACCAGTGGCCTGATCACGAAGACGGTTGTTTCCTCCGCAGCCCAGCAGCAGGCAGTTCAGTCCTTTGCAAAGGCGAGGCCGTCTCCTCTCTGTCCTACTTTTCTTTCCCATTGCTGTAATAAACACCATGACCAAAGGCAATGTGGAGAGGAAGGGTTTATTTCAGCTCACAGCTCTCCAGTCTACCATGAAGGGAGTCAGGGAAGAAGTCAAGGCAGGAGCCTGGAGGCAGGAGCCGATGCAGACGACATAGAGGGAGCTGCTTACTGGCTTGCTCCCCATGGCTTGCTCAGCCTGCTTTGTTATGGAATCCAGGACACCAGCCCAGAAATGGCACTGAGGCCAGTGAGCTGGGCCCTCCCACATCAATCATTCGTCAAGAAAACGTCTCACAGACTTGCCTATAGGAGAGTCTGATGGAAATAATTCCTCAACTAATGTTCTATCTTCCCAAATGACCCTAGCTTGTTTCAAATTGACAAAAACTGACCAGTGACCTCTCATTACAACTCCAAGTTGGTGTCAGTGCCCACATACTGTTACTCCAATGATGGTCTCCGTCTTTGTTGTCTAGATGGGTATATCTGGGCTTAGAATATTCTTCATTCTGCCTGTTTAAAATATGTTGCTAATAAAATGTAGATTAGAAGTGGGGCTGGAGAGATGGCTCAGTGGCTAAGAACACTGGCTACTCTTGCAGAGGACCCGAGTCTGGTTCCAGGCACCCCATAGTGGCTCACATCTATCTGTAACTCCAGTTCTGGGGATCTGATACCCTCTTCTGGCTTCTATACCTGTGGTACACTCAGGTTCAAGCAGGCAAAACACTCATATAATAAATGAATGAATGAATGAACAAAAGAAAGAAAGAAAGAAAGAGAGAGAGAGAGAGAGAGAGAGAGAGGGAGGGAGGGAGGGAGGGAGGGAGGAAGGAAGGAAGGAAGGAAGAAAGGAAGAAAGGAAGAAAGAAAGAGAAATCTTTTTAGAAAGACAGACACACGCAGGCATCTTCTTTGGAAATCTGAGGTTGGAAACTTGTCTTTCTACACACCCTTTTTATTTTCTTCTACTGTAGCCCAGGCTGGTCTTGAACTTGTATACTCCCTACCACACCTAGCTCATATTTTCTGAGATTTATTTTTTTATTATTATTATTTTAAATTATTTTTAATTGATTATTTGGGAATCTTACGTCATGGACCCTGATTGAGCTCACCTCCCAGTCTTCCCATGTCCACCCCTCCCCTCTGGCCTCCCCACAAGGAAAAATAAGGTCCATTTTGTGTTGTCCATATATTCACTGGAGTGTGGTCGGATTCCTGGTGGCCAGCCCCCTCAAGGAGGAAGAGTCTTTCTCTCCCTGCATCCATGCCAGAAGTCATCAACTAAGGAGGGCAGTGTGGTGGCCAGAGTCAGCTCTCCATTGACCATGCTACCATCACTGTGCTGTGGGCCAGTGAGGTGCTGGGTCAGCTCTCCTGAGCACAGGGACGTCAACATGGCTTCAGGTGGCAGCCCAGACCATGGGCTTTGGTGGTAACATGGGCTGTAGACATCAACACAGCTCTTGGTTATATCAGGATCACTGACCCACTCATTGCCCTCAGCAGCTGCACAGCCCGGAGACTTGGCATGGCCTCAGGTGGTTACACATGTCATTCACATCAGTCTGATGCCCCAAGCAGGAAAGCCTGAGGACATCACCTCAGCAGTAGGCAGTGGCACAGGATGCATAGGTCCACATGGGTCTCAGGTTTCATTGAGGCCTGGGGCAGCAGCATGGACCACCGACACTAACATGGCCTCCGGTGGCATCATAGGCCATGGCGGTCCTTCAAGGAGGTCCAATCCAGAAAGCGAACCTTTCCTCATCTCCGGCCTCTGTTGTTGCCCAGAGCCAGGGGTCAGGCGGCAGGTTCAGGGGCTGAGTCTACATCTGCCCAAGCTCCAAGCGGTTGTACACCAAGATCTGGCCAATGCTACTGGACAGTGACAGCATGTCCATCTCAGCCCTTGCTCCCATCTGTCACCGCCATCACGTTCCCAGTTCCACCCTCTCCATAGAGCACTCCCTGCTCCGTTTTTCTCTTTCCTACCTCTCCATCACATACATGTTCTTTGTAGTGGTGCCAGCTGCTGCCCTGAGCCACGAGCTAGCAATTTTTATTATTTCTAATTACATGTGTGCATGTATTTGTATGTGTGTATGTGCACACAATTGTCAGAGTCACCAGACTCGCTGGAGCTGGAGTTACAGGTGATAATGAACTGCTCCATATGGGTTCTAGGAAGTGAACTTGGGTCTTCTGCAAGGACAAGGCGCACCTTTGACCACTGAGTCTTCTCTCCAGGCTGCAGCTCTCACCATTCGTCTGTGTTTTCTTTCTCTCACGATTCTTCAGACCTGTGGTGTATCAGCATACACAGCGCAGTGGGTGCCCAGGTCGTCCTGGCTCTGGAGCTGCCGTATTTCTGGGCTACACATACAAAGAACTGTTGGTGATTAAGGACTGACTTCACCGTCCATGGGTTTGGTCTCTGGAAGTTTGGCTCTATAAGACTGTTTCAGATTCAAGAAGTGCCAATATGCTTCGCTTGCTTCTTTCTGTGCACTATAGCACGTACACCGAGCTTTCTGAAAAGGAGCCAGGGTGTGCTGGCACATGCCTGTAATCCCAGAATTTTGGAAGCTGAAACAGGAAGATCTAGCCTGGCTTGCATAGGGAATTCCAGACTGTCTCAGTTAGGGTTTCTATTGCTGTGAAGACACACCATGACCACAGCAACTCTTATAAAGGAAAACATTCAATTGAGGTGGCGGCTTACAGTTTCAGAGGTTCAGTCCATTATCTTTATGGCAGGGAGCATGGCAGTTGGGAGTAAGGTGATGTGCAGGGAAACATGGTGCTGGAGGAGCTGAGAGTCCAGCATCTTGATTTCACAGACATCAGGAAGTGGTGTGAGACACTGGGCGTGGCTTGAGCATATATGAGACCTCAGAACCTGACTCCCTTTGGGGGAGTCATTATCTTTCAAACCACCACACAGACCAAAATGTATTTCTTTTAACATTTATGTGTGTCTGTGTGTCTGTCTGTGCATGTGCATATGTGTGTGTCTGGATGAGCGAGTGCCCCCTGTGAGGAGGCCGGAAGAGGGCATCAAATCTCCTGGAGCTGAGTGTCAGGTGGTTGTGAGCCACCGGACATGGATGTCGGGAGCTGAACTCCGGTCTTCCCTCTGGAAAAGTGACAAGTGCTTTCAGCCACTGAGCCCTCTCGAGCCCTGACACCTTTTTTTTTTCTTTGAGACAAGGTCTTACTATATACATAGCCCTGGCTAGACTGGAACTCTATGTCGACCAGACTAGCCTTGAACTCACAGACCTGCCTGTCATCTTCCCCACCCCCCACCCCCACCCCCCACTCCCCACCCCCACCCCGAGTGCTGGAATTAACACTTGGTCTAACATTTCTTTTTAAATTGAAAAGTTAGTAATACTGTAAGTCGGTGGGGTTGATTTGTTTTTTTAACCTACAGTAGATTTTACTTAAAACTGAATATTTAGCAGTTTATTGGGTGAGCCTAAAGGCTTGAAATTGCACGTCTATGAGTTTGGGCCTTGCGTTTTCGACACCTTAGGTTCTATTCTTTGCTTTTTTTTTTTTAACTTAGTGCAGCAGATCAGGGGGCTCTTAAGCCATCTGTTAACCTTCTTTTCTCCTTAAAAAAAATCACACTGAGTCGCTCAAGGCAAGAAGACCCCCAGCCAGAACGCCGGAGCAGAGCTGAGGGGATGTGCAGGCCCAGCGAGGACTCTGGAGCAGAGCTGAGGGGGTGTGCAGGCACAGATCATTGGCTCTGACATTTCAAGGCTTGAGCCTATTAATTTTTTATGTTGAGCTACTTGTATATCGTTAATAAAAATCTGACGACAAACTTTTTAGGATGTATTTGTTGCTGTGGCTTTGATCTTAATGTTTGCAAACTAATACATTAATACATGGGCAGCCTTAAGGAGGCTTTCTAAGAGAATATTTCCATACATTATGTTTTCATTTCCATTTGAGGTGGCTGAGCCTCTGTGGGGTTGTTGATGGTGGTAGCATTAGATTTGGGTGAGAAGTGTGTCTTCTTAAGAGAGACAGCCACCAACCGGAAGCAAGGTAATGACATTTGGTTGAACTAGGTAGTGAACTAATCTAGGTAGATTTTTTTTGACAGTCTCATAAGGTAGCCCAGGTTGTCCTTGAACTCACCAAGTGTTAGAATCACAGATGTGTGCCTCCCCCACCCCCATGTTACTTTTCAGGGCTAGGCAACTTCGTTAGAATTTTTATCTAAGTTCACTTCTGTAAGAGCTCTCCCTTCTAACATGAGTTTTCACTCCCAAATCCTTCATTTTGAAAAGAAGTGGGGTATTCACATTCATTTGCTATTTGCAATAATATTTATTTGTGATAGGGAAGCAAGACCCCAAATCATTGAACAATGAAGTATAATTATCAAAATGTCGCTTGGGAGACAGGTGCATTACCTGTTGTTCTGGCATTCAGGAAGAAGAGGCAGGAAGATGGAGTTGGAGGCCAACCTGGGCTACATCATGAGAGCCTGTCTGGCGGGAGTTGGGGAAGGGGGAGGATGGGGGGGAGGCAAGGGGCGGGGGGGGGGGGGGGGGGAGCCACTTGTGTAAGTCTACAGAGGTGAACTCAATTGAACGGTACATCTTCGATCCCTGCTAACTGCCCCTTCCCTTGCTGTGGCCTCTGTGACAGAGATGTGAGACACTCACATGTCAGGCCCATGAATGTGTGTGACTTTGTGACTTATATATTATATATGTGCCCTCAAACACAAGATGCTGCTGTGGCAAGATAAAATGAGACTTCTAAACAGCGCGCGAGATTTGAGGGTCTGAGGAATAATTTGACGATATTTGAAGGTCTACTTCACAAAAGTAGAAATGTAAGTGGAATGATGATATTAAAAATGATCGCTAACCCAATTTCGAACACTTTGGAGCACTGTGTGGGCAAGCAGGCTGTTGCCAGGGCTCTTTCATTTGAACGCGACGCAAAAACCACCGTGAAATGCTTTGAATATTTATGATATCGATCGAGGATCAGACTAGCTCCAATAGCCTTCAATTTTCTTACCCTGGTTAAAAGTGTTTGAAATGTCTATCCTCTGATGTATGAGTGGTTAATTATTCGGGTGTGAAGTACCCCTTTCTTTAAAGGAGGCTGTGGGAAATCCTACTTAACACGAAAGTAAAATTAATTCTCTGTAGTGACCATGGGGTGGAGGAACTAACTGGTCGGAGAGATTCTTGGGGCAGTTTCTTATACTATTTCAAAATAGATGGCGTCATCATAAGTCTGGCTGTTTTTCAGGTCCACTAGAGGGAGTCGTGAGGTACAGATGTGGATTGTTTTTTAATAAAGAAGATTTGTTTGTCATTGAGTGAGTAAATACATTTGTAGCGATGGTCTTGTCCGACTGCAGCTGCTGCTGTGCTGGAGTCCTGCTCTTTACTCACGGATGCTGCCCCGATAGAGGGAAGTGCTTTTTACGTCCCCGATTGCCTGACTTCTTTCTCTCCTTGCTAACGTTCTTCCTTAATTTTCTATTTCTGCCTACCATCCGGAGGCAATTTTGATATGCAAATAAGCCTTAGCATTCAGAAACGGAAGCTTTTGAGAGTCTGATTTAGTTTTTTCTCCCCCCCCCCCCCCGCCCTCTTTTTCTTTTTAAAAGAATCTGTGTTGGGTAGAGCAGCCCCATGATGGGAATAGAGTGATACAACTCCGTTTCTCTCTCCCCGTGATTCCTGCCCTGTAATCTCCCGCTGGTCTCCTTCCTAAGACCCTGGGGACACTCCTGGGAGAGAAGGGGGATGTGGCTATTGATGCTGCATGCTACAAGAAAAATACAAAGCTGCAAATTGGAACCTGTTTAATTTTCCAAAGCTAAAAGATTTTAAAGCAATTTAGTAAAGTGTTTAAAAAAATTTTAAGTGCTGAAAGCTCACAGCAAAGAAGCAAGGGAACTACCTCCATGTTGCTCCTCAGAGCCGATGCTTTACAAAATGATATCGTTATCAAGGTAAAATTTGCATCCAGTGAAATCTGCAGAGTTTAAATCTTCAGACCATTGATTATGGTGACTGACATAGTGTGGATGCACAACCACCACCTTACTTGGGGTGAGGGTGGCTTCTGTCACTCCAGAAAGTTCCTTCTTGCCCCTTCCTGTCAGATGATGCAGAAAAGCAAAATTAATTCACCATAGTAATGGTTTATTTTATTTTGACAGACTTAATTCACTTTATTTTTCGTGTGTAAAATCCTTTCCTTGTATGGTAGACACAGCTGGAGCCTGGGTCCTCTAAACGGACACTCTGGTGGGAGTTTTCACAAGATGGTCAATGAATTCCTGTTAAAGAGATTTGGTGGACACAGTATCATTCCAGAGGTCAGGGTGGGGTGGGGTCTTAAGTAGCTGTCGGTCTTGGAGATAACATCAAAGGTGGCCTTGGCGACGTTGCCCAGGATGGCAGTGCAGCCTGGCTGGTGTGCAGCAGTCATCACCAGCTTCTTGGGCACGGGAGCAGAGACGATGCCGGGGTGATGTGCAGAGAGCAGAGTGGCTTGCCAAGCTTGCTCTCCAGTAGCCTCTCCACACAGGAACAATGGAAAGCTTGGCCAAGATGATGACTCCCCAGATTGCAGTGGCTACCTCCTCGGAGCTTTTAACAGCAAGACCAACATGACCACTGTCCCCAATAGTGACAAAAGCCTTGAACCTGGTCCGCTTGCCAGCACAAGTTACCTTCTGCACTGGCATGACCTCATCCTTTTGGGATGCTCCCAGGAAAAAGTCAGACATCTCATGTTCCTTAATGGGCAGGGAGAACAGGTAGCTCTCCAAGGACTCCATCTTCATGTAGAACTCCGTCCTCTGTGAATGTCAGGCTTTTTCATGGAGTCTCAGCTCTCTTCCACCCACTAGGGCTCCGTCCTATGCCAGTGCCCTACTGCCCCAATTTTAGCAGCTTTGTAGTAACTTCTGAAATCAGAACGCAAAACTCTCCAGTGTGTCCTTTAAAAAAAAAAAATTAGGGAATATCCCAGGAACCCACAAGGATGACCACAGCTAAGACTCCTAGCAATAGTGGAGGGAGTGCCTGAACTGGCCTTCTCCTGTAATCAGAGTGGTGACTACCCTAACTCATCAGAGAACCTTCATCCAGTAACTGATGGAAGCAGATGCTGACATCCTAGCCAAGAGCTCTGGGAGTCCTGTTGAAGAGAGGGAGGAAGGATTGTAGGAGCTGGGGTTGAGGGGTGGGGGTTGAGGGGGTGGGAGTGGGGGTAGCAAAATCATGATGGGGAAACCCACAAAGACAGCCGACCCAAGCTCGTGAGAACTCACAGACCCTAGACCGACAGCTAGGGAGCCTACATAGGACCGTCCTAGGCCCTCTGCATGTGGGAGACAGTTGTGTAGCTTGGTCTGCTTGTGGGGCCCCTGGCAGTGGAAGCAGCATCTGCTCCTGGCTTTTTGGAACCTTTCCCCCCTGCTAGGATGCCTCTCTCAGCCTTGATGCAGAGGGGAGAAGCTCAGCCCTGCCTCAACTTGATGTGCCATGTGTTGTTGACTCCCATGGGAGGCCTGCCCCTTTCTGAGGAGTAAATGGGGGAGGGGGTAGGAAGGAGATTGGGGGAGGGGACAGGAGGAGAGGAGAGAGGGAAACTGTGGTTGGTACGTAAAATAAACAAAAAATTAGTAATAAAAAATTTAAATTTATGTGTATGTGTATGTCCATACGGACAGGAGCCCACACAGTCCAGAAGAGGGTGTCGAATCCCCTGGAGCTGGAGTTACAGATGGTTGTGAGCCTCCCAAAGTGGGTGCTGGGAACTGAACTCCAGTACTCTGAAGAAGCAGCAAGTGCTCTCAACCTCTGAGCCATCTTGCCAACCTCCTTCAATTTGTTCTTGATTTTCCAGACTATTTTAGATAATCTGTGTCCTTTATATTTGTATATGAATTTTAGGCCAGCTTGTCCATTTCTGAAAAGTAAATCATCTGGGATTTTTATAATGCATTCACTGAGTTCTTTGTCAGGATACAACAGCCTATAATTAAAATCTTCAGGCCTATCTAATAACTTTGAAAAATTATTCTCTAGTTTATGTATAACAGCCGGAACATAACTGTTGGTTTCTTTCTCTGGACTTTGCTGTTCTTTCTGTAGCCATGTGAAAGTGACTTTCACAGCAGTATCATAAATGGTTCAATCCTCACATGGGACAGATAGGCCTTCAACCATTCCAGCTCTCCAGCACTGCTACCATGGTCCTTCTATTCCATTGCTTTGGTTCTGTCACTCATGAGGTGCCCTGAGGCTAGGAATACCAAACAGGTTCCATTTGGTGTGTCAGCTCTGAATACACATGCTTGTCATCCTGGGTTGAGGGTCATCAGGCTTGCAGTGCTAGGATTCCATTACTAGGAATTGTGGTTGATTAGCAATGTCTGCCTTGGCAGACATGGGGTGTACTAAATAGAGGGGCTGCTTGCCAGCTGTGGTCTCAGAAAGGAATAATTTGGGTTGGATGGCTGTATGGTCTCACTGGTCAGGTGACTGAGAGGCCACAGAGCTGAGAGTGACTTTGGGTATAAATGGAACTCTGTAAGTCTGACACTAGAGGGAGATTGGCAGGTGTCAAGCAGAGGATCTGATGGCCAGTTGCTGCTGGCCCAGTGTCTCACGTTCTGGGGTCCAGAGCGTCATCAAGATGAAGATAGCTGGCTGGTCTCAGGGTCTGAAATGCCACTCAGAGGTGAAAAACCTCTTTCCATGGCCTCACAGAAATGGCTTTGATCCCTGGATAAATCCAGAACTTTTCAATCCAAACTAAAGACCAGACAAGACAGACTTGCTTTAATCAAGTTCCAAAATAAAGGGGCACAGTTTTAAAAGGCGTGGTCCTGGAAGAAGATGCCAGGGTGTGTAGAAGTGTGCTTCTGGAAAAATACCAAAGAAACCGCAAGTGGTTTGGCCTCCTGCCCCAGGATGTTGCCTCATAGCCGGGGCCTGGAGGCTCCTGGGTCCCGCTGACTTGGAGCATGCTTGCTGAACGTATTCAGGTCTCTGTTGAGGTCCTCTGCTCTCTGCTTGTGAGTTTTGAATCCTTTAGGATTCTTTCCACTTGCTGCTTCTCGTGCACCTGCCTCGGGACCTCCATCCACCTGTTCCCACGGCACTGCTTTCCCATTCTCTTACTCAAGTCCCATGTGCTGGGGGTCACTTCCAGGAGGTCCCCCTTTGTCTCCCTCCCCTTTACCCCTCTTCCGCTTGGTCACACAGAACACTTGATATCTTTCAGCTTCAGGGGTCTCCTTACATGCTCTTGCCTGCAGTCCCACAACTGGAATCTTTATTCTGTAAATAAATAATCTTTATTCTCAACAACACTGGCTTTTGCACTCCAGGAAGATGTAATATTGGATCTCTTAAATTTCTTCCCACAATAGTTTGCCATTTTCAGAATGTAAGTGTTGCATCCTTTTGTTTGTTTGTTTTGGCTAACCTTATTCCTAAGAATATTTTCGTTTAATTCCATATGTAAACGAAACCATTTTGTTTTTTAAAACTATTTGTTTATTTTTATGTGTATGAGTGCCTGCATGTGTGTATGTGCACCATGTGAGTGCAGTACCCACAAATGCGAGAAGAGGGTGTTAGATTCCCCTGGAACTGAAGTTTCAGATGCTTGTGAGCTGCTATGTGCAGGGAGGTGGGGCCCCATGCCAGGAATCTGGATCACGTGTCTTGTGACAGCTTATTGGTATAAATTATTGGTATAAATTAATGTTGTCTCTCGGGAGCCCATTCTGGTTGTCACTGGATTAGCTCCCCAGAGGCTTTTGTAGGGCAAATGTCCTCTCCTTTCCCCTACCACATGAGTGACCTCTTCAAGCACGCCCTCTTACCTGTCTTTGAGCCATGACTTGAAGCACTCTGAGGCCCCCATCAGAAGATCTTTTATCTCCTGATCTCTCACTTTGGTCTGGAGTTGTAAGTTAACTAAAGCTCTTTTCTTTATAAGTTACGCTTAGGTGTTCTGTTATAGCAACAGAAAGCAGACTAAGACATTCTGTCTCAAATTTGATTGATACTTTGGCTGGGTATAGAATTCTAGGTATAAAATAAGTTTCTCAAGGTCATACTGTATTTCCCCCTAGCTTAATATATTGCTTATGGGAAACAATGAGTCTGATGCCTTTTTTTTAAATGATTTATTTGCTTTTATTTCATGTACATTGGTTTGCCTGTATGAGGGTGTCGGATCCTTTGGGACTGGATTTACAGACAGTTGTGAGCTGCCATGTGGGAGCTGGGAATGGAATTCGGTCCTCTGGAAGAGCAGCCCGTGCTCTTACTGCTTTGCCATCTCTCCAGCCCCTTGTTTGTTTTGTTTTTTACTATTTCTGTTTCTCTTTCAGGAGCCTTTTCTGGCTAATATGAAATTTCACAACAGTATATTTAGGTTAGACCTTTTTCATTCGGGTTGTTCAGGCTTTTACCTTGAAAACAGACATTAAGTCCATCTGCCAAAGGCAGGTTTGACATCCTTCTATTGCATATGGAATTGAGGAAAGATGGACTATTCTGAATACAGATCATTTTAATGAATTCTCCCATTTCCAGCCTTGATGCTAATTAGCTAATCTGCTAGGGTCAAGCTTCACAAATGTGAGTCTAGGACCTTCTAGAGTTGGTTCTACTCTCAATTGTGAGGCAGACAAGTGTAGGGAATAATTTAGCAACCTAGGACTCAACTTCTCTTGGGCTACACCCACACCCCTCTTTTATCGATGACCTGGCCACACAGATCCTCACCTACATGTTCTATGCACACACACCCCTTCTCAACAATCCACCTAGCAACCTGTTAGCAGCCTAGGACCCCTACCTGCACTGAGCAGCGTGATACCTGCTTTAAACAATGAGAATAAGTCACTTCCCTTAGCTGTGGTGGTTTGAATGAGAATGTCCCGCATAAGCTCATGTATTTGAATACTTGATCTCCATTTGGTAGACTGTTTGGGAAGGATCAGGAGGTGTGACCTTGTTGGAGGAGATGTGTCACTGGGGGTGGGCTTTGAGGTTTCAAAAGATTCCTTCTCTCTCTCTCTCTCTCTCTCTCTCTCTCTCTCTCTCTCTCTCTGCCTCATGTTTGTGGATCATGTGAGTTCTCAGCTACTTCTCCAATGCCATGTCTGCCTGCCTGCTGCCATGCTCCCCATGATAGTTATGAACGCTAGCCTTCTGGAACCATGAGCCACCAAATTTAAAGCTTGCTTTTATAAGCTGCCTTGGCCATGGTGTTTTGTCACAATAATAGTGAAGTACCTATGTGAGTGCAGTACCCACAAATGCCAGAAGAGGGTGTTAGATTCCCCTGGAACTGAAGTTTCAGATGCTTGTGAGCTGCTATGTGCAGGGAGGTGGGGCCCCATGCCAGGAATCTGGGTCACGTGTCTTGTGACAGCTTATTGGTATAAATTATTGGTATAAATTAATGTTGTCTTAGTCAAGGTTTCTATTGCTGTGATAAAACACTAGGACCAAAAGCAACTTCGGGAGGAAAGGGTTTATTTGGCTCAGACTTCCACATCACTGTTCATTGAAGGGAGTCAGAGCAGGAACTCAAGCAGGGCAGGAACCTGGAGGCAGAAGCTGATGCAGAAGCCATGGAGGGGTGCTGCTTACTGGCTTGCTTTGCTTGCTTTCTTAGGACAACCAATCCTGGGATGGCACCACCCATAATGGGCTGGGCCCTCACCCATTAATAACTAATCAAGAAAATGCCTTACAGTTCCACGCCAACCTGGTCTACAGAGTGAGTTCTAGGACAGCTAGCGCTACACAGTGAGACCCTGTCTTGAAAAAAACCAAAAAGCCAAAAAAGAAAAAGAAAAAGAAAAAGAAAATGCCTTATAGCCGGATGTTACGAAGTCGCTCTGTCAGTGTTCCCTCCTCTCAGATGACTCTAGATCGTGTCAAGTTGACATAAAATGAGCCCGCACAGTAACTGAGGTGGCAACCCTTTGGTAACATTGTTTCTATTTAAACACATCCTTGAACTGCCTGAGCCTGCCTAGACTGGCTTCAGGTTCATGCTCAATAAGGCAAACTCTATCTTCAAAGTGAACTTTTGAGGGGGGGCAAAATCTCCTATTTACCATCTTATGCCTACACATAATTGAGCATGGAAATGATTAAAATCATTCGCGTTATGGGAAGGGACGTGCACAGTAGAAAACAGGTCACATAACTGAACCTGTCAATCAAAATAGAGAACCACCTAAACCACACCCCTTTAGCAACCCTCCGCCTCCTTTGAACTCCGTAAAAGGAAGCTGCAGACAACCAGGGCTGTTGAATGTATCCACTCAGGTCGCTGCCTGCCGTCAATTTTGACAGTGTATCTAACCTGTTGTCTTGTCACTCCCTACTTTGCCACCTACGTGGGGTCTTATTTCATTCTTGAGTTAAAGGCCAAGAACCCAGAAAACCTGATCCAGACGCAGACCACCCACGACAGCGGCTGACCTCCTGTGTTCGGTCCAGCTGTGTACAGTCCTTCCTCTTGCTGACTCACACCCGTCCGGTCCTTTCAACTAAGCCTCTGCTGCTTCTCTGGCTGCCCAGTGACCCTCTGCTGTTCTCTGCGTGCAGGATTTGGTCTTTTCTATTTTCTTATCATTTTCCTGGGGTCTGAGGAGGTAAAGGGTACCTGGTGTGTCCCACTTGCCGCCCCCATCTCCCCCGCCTCTCCACCTTTTCCCACTTTTATTTCTGTGTCAGGGTCCCAGTTAGAATACGACTCCTTGGTGCAGACAGGTTGTCTTTTATCAACGTGACGCTGACCTTGCCTGTCAACTTGACTACCCCGGGAAGCAACTAAAACCCAAGCAGCTGAGCATACCTGTGAGAGATTTTCTTGATTTGTTCTTTCAGAGTGGGAAGACCCACCCCAAACCTGGGCTGTACCTTCTGGTGGCAACCCACATAAAAGGACATGGAAGAAGGAAGCTTTTACCTTTTGCCTTCTTGACCTACTCTCAAGGGCAGGTTCATCTACCCTGCTGCTGAGGTATTCCTTTGCTGGTATTAGGACCTGCCTCTTCAGGATTCTGATGCAGACTGAAGATCAGAAGCTCTGTAGGAATTCTCCAGGGCCCCAGCACCAGACTGGGGTTGCTGAGAATAGTCTGGACTGAACAACTCTAGGAATCTTGGCCTTTCCATCGGGAGACACCTGTTATTGGACTACATGACTGCAGCCTGTAAAACTCTCTAATAAACCCCCTTTATATGCATGCATGACTGTGTGCATGCTCGTGTGTGCGTGCACGAGTGTGTGTGTGTGTGTATTCATTCTATCAGTCCTGCTCCTTTAGAGATCCCTGACTAATACAATCTCTTTTGGCTTGCTGTTTATTAGGGAGTCTTAAAGCTCTCCTATACTTTCCCAGTATCTGTTGGTCACAGAGGACCTTATAGAGTGGGGCTCCTACCCTAAGGTTCTGTAACCAGTACTGAAGTAGGTGACTTCATTTCCAGGCCTAGCACTGAGTGTTTATGTTTATGAAACTTTAAAATTCTGCCCCTGCTTCTGTGGGTGACTCCTTTCTGACCTCTGGCTGAGTAGGAAGGGTCTCAGACGAGCAGAGGAAAGCTCCACCTTTGAATTGTTTTTCTTACAGCCACAGGAGTTCAGATTCACGGGCTATCTGCCCCTTCCTCTAGACTGATGTCCCTACGGGCAGGGCCTGTGTCCTTGTTAGGTCTGTGCTGCCAGCAGCCCGTTCGGAGGCTGCCCACAGCAGGGCTGAAAAGATCGTTTGTGCAATGGGGGAAACTGTCCTCAGACAGCTGTAAAACCACAGCCCCAATTGAACATCCTCTCCTCTGCTCTCTGCCCAGTTTTGCTCCATAAATTAATGACTAGGGGGCTCTGGATCTTCAGGGAAGGCGATTCATCTTAGTCTGAAGACCCCTGCACGGGAGAAATGAAGCTTCCCATTATTTCCTTTAAATCAAAATAAATTGGATTCTGAATTCTCGCACGACTGGGTTGGTGGAAATGGGATCCCAGCCTTCTTGGAAAGTAAGAATGGAGCATCTCACAGACATCTGAACAACGAGAGAGGAGACCCACACACACTGTCACAGTCACCCCAACTGCGTCGGCCAGTGCAGCATGATGGCTTGGCATGAGCTTGGCCCTGGGTTCTCTCCGTATACCAGGACACAGAGTGGTGGCTCTGGCTTCTTAGAGTCCACAAACCCGGTGTCTCCCCAAGGGGCCTCACTGTCTCTAGTGCCTCTGGCACTGCTGACACACTTCCCACAGAAGGAGACTGTCTTGGTCGGTGTTCTATTGCTGTGAAGAGACACCATGACCATGGAAACTTTTATAAAAGAAAGCATTTAACCAGGCTTGCTTACAGTTTCAGAAGTTTAATTCATTATCCCCGTGGCAGGGAGTACCGCAGCACACAGGCAGACATGACAGCTGAGGATTCTACATCTGGATCCGAAGGCAGCAGGAGGAGACACTGGGCTTGGCTTGGGCTTCTGAAACCTCAAGCCAATGACACACTTCCTCCAAAAAGACCACACCCACTTCAACAAGACCACACCTCCTAATCCTCCTCAAGTAGTGCCACTCTCTGATAACCAAGCATTCAAATATATGAACCTATGGGGGCCACTTTTATTCAAACCACCACATTCCACTCCTTGGCTCCCATAGACTTGTAGTCATATCATAAGGCAGAAATGCATTCAGTCCAACTTCAGAAGTCCCCATAGTCTGTAATATTCTAAAACTTATTTAAAAGTCTAAAGTTCAGAGTCCCTTCTGAGATTCATGCAATCTCTTAGGTGTAATCCCCTGTTAAATCAAAATCAAAAAGCAGATCATACACTCCAACATATAATGGCACAGGATATACATTACCATTCAAAATTGCAGGGAAGAAAGTGTGGCAAATAAATACTGGACCAAAGCAAGACTGTAAACCAACAGGGCAGACTCCAAACTCTGCATCTCCATGTCTGATGTCAATGGGCTCTTCAGAACTCCAACCCCTTTCATCTTTGTTGACTGCAGCACACTTGTTTGTCTTGGGTTGGTTCTCCTCCCTGCTAGAAGCTCTCCACGGCAGGTATCCCAAGGCCCTGGCTTCTCTGATACATCGGAGTCCACAAGGCATTGCAGGTTTCCCCTTCACAGCTTCACACAAGGGCTTCCCTGGGCCTCCATGCAGGGACACCCCTGACACACACCCAGCCTCAGCAGCTTTCCTTAGTCGCAGAGGGAGATTCCACAACCCCTTTCTTCTATCCTCGACTCTAAAGCCAGAACCATGTGACCGAAATGGCCAAGTTCTGCTGTTTTCTGGGGCTGGAACATGCCACCCCATTCACATACATTTTCATCAGCTTTCTGTTTTCGATGGTTTCTTTCACCGTTTAAGCTCCCCCCCCCCACACCTGTAATATTGTTACTAATTATTTGAGAATTTTGTACAAAGGACCCTGATCACACTTGCTTCCCATTCTCCCCAGGCCCACCCTCCTACCCTTGTACCCCACCAAAAAAATCAAAGCCCAACTTGTGTTGCCCACATAGCACTGGAGCATGGCCCAACTCCCAGTGGCCAGCCCCTTGATGAACACTGAGTCCTTACTGAGTCCTTACCACCCCCCCACTAGAAGCCATCATCTGTGAAGAGCGACACTTTAGCATCTTTATTACGTTTTTTATTTTTTTATTTATTCTGTGTGTCTTTCACATCATGCAACTTGATCCCATTCATTTCCCCATCCCTTCCATCTGCCCTCTGCCCCTGCTACCCCCAACCAAATAAAACAAAATTTAAGAGCAAAAAAGGAAAAAGGAAAAAAATTAAAAATCTAGTCATGGAAGCTGCAGTGTGACACAATGAGTCACCAGTAAACCCTTAGTCCGTATGTCTGTACTTGTAAGTGTTCATTGCAAAGAGTCATTGGTGTGGTTCGAGGCCTCTGGTTTCTGCTACACTATCAATGCTGGACCCTCATGGGGACTCTTTTTGGTTATCCTGTTGTTGCCCTGTGTTGTGGAGATCCTGCAGCTTTGGGTCTGCTGGTCAGGACCCTTCACATGCTCTATTGGATCATAGATGGGGTGGATGTTGGAGTGGGCCAACTCATAACCCTGGTTCTGGGCCTGGGTAGCTGCAGGGTTGGTCAGCCCATCAGTTCTCCCCTGTCCTCACCACCAGGGTGAGCTCTCCAGCATTGTCCCAACTAGCTCACCCCTTACAGCAATGAGCAAAGGGATGGGACCAGTTCTGCTTTCACATCCTCAGGGTCGGTTCTCCCACACTTACAGCTTCAGGGCCAGCTCTACTGTGTTGCCCAGGCATGGTACAGGGTTCATTCTCCTGAGTGCTGCTGTTGGTGAGGGGCAGGGACAGCTCTCCCACTCCCATAACCCCAGGGCCAGCTCCTTCACCTGTCCCTGGCACTGATGGGTGGGGTAGGGTGGCATGGAGGAGGACATCTCATCTCCCCCCTCCAACATCAGGGCTGAGTCACCCACACCTCTGACAACAGAGCCAGCTCTCCTGTGCTGCCAAGTGAGGAGCAGGGCCTGCTTTCCTGAGTGCTGCAGCTGGTAAGGGGGAGGGTCAGCTCTCTCTTCTGTTGCAGGCAGTATGGGGAGGGGGTAAGGAGGCATCTCTCCCCCACCCACACCGCCACATGAGGGTAGTAGGAAAAGTGCTCCCACGCTTACAGATTTGGGGCCGGCTCACCCACACCTCCACCAACAGGGCTGACTCTATTGTGTTGCTCAGGTGAGGTGCAGGGCCTGCTCTCCAGAGTGTTGCAGCTGGTGGTGGGCAGGGATGGCAGGGACAGCTCTCCCGCTCTTGTGACATCAGGGCCAGTTCTCCCACATGTCCTAGGTATTGATGGGTGGGGGCCATGGGAGGGCATCTCCTCCCCTCCCCGTCCATGGTGTCACAAGACAGATGAGTAATGGGGACAGCTCTCCCATGCTCACAACCTCAGGGCTGGCTCACCCACACCTCTGCTAACAGGGTTGGCTCTATTGTGCTGCCCCAGCGAGGTGCAGAGTTTATCACAGTTTTTTAAAAAAATAATTTATTTTCATTTCATGTGTATTCATGCTTTGCTGCATGTATGTCTGTACGAAGTTGGTGGATCCCCTGAAACTGGAGTTAGAGGCAGTCATGCACTGCCATGTGGGTGCTGGGAATTGAACCTGGGTCCACTGGAAGAGCAGCCAGTGCTCTTATCCACTGAGCCATCTCTCCAGCTCCTTTATCACAGTTTTTAAGAACTCTCTTCAATATCTTCCTGTCTGGACTGTTTCTTTTTTTGTGTGGGGTTGTGGTTAGGGAAAGAGATTGTCTCAGAAACCTTCAGTGCCTCTCGTTCTCAGTTATGAGTCCACAGTCATCAATACCACTGCAAAACAAGCTTCCCTGCCTGTGGCAGCATGGATCGTGGACATCAACATGGCCTCTGGCAGCAACACGAATCATGGACATGAACATGGCCTATGGTGGTAGCATGGACCATGGAAGTCTTTCAAGGAGACTTAATCCAGGAAACGAACCATCCTTTATCTCGGTATGCTGTCTAGAGTCAAGGTGATTGCATGGTTGGACAGTGTGTCCAGGGGCAGGACCTGCTTGAGCTCCAGGCTGCTGTACACCCCCCAGTCCTCAGTGCTGACCACCCTGCAGGCACCCCAGGTATGGCCATCATGCTTGCAGCCTGGGAAGTGCCTCAGCCCCGGGCTTTCCTCTGCCCCAGCAGCACTGGCAGCAGCAGTGGTGGCTCCATGCAGGTCCAGTGGCAGCATTAGCTTAGCAGGCAGTGATGGGGAGAAGCAGGCCTGGGGGTGGCCTGAGCCTCCCAGTGGCCCAGGGACTGGCCCTACTCATCAACAGCATGTTCCTTTATCTCCTGCAGCTATGATCCCATACCTTTGCCTCTCGCCAGCATGCATGCTGCTCCTACCTGCCATAGTTTTTCTAGTTCTGTGAAACCACTTTTTAAAAGCACCATTCCATAACACCTGCCCTTCCCCCCGAACCCCTTAAACAGGGTTCCTCTGTGTAGCCCTGGGTGTCCTGGAACTCACTCTGTCAACCAGGCTGGTCTCAAACTCAGAGATCTGTCTGCCTCTGCCTCCCGAGTGCTGGGATTAAAGGCATGCACCATCACTGTCTGACTCAAGACTTGCCTTTTTCAGTTGTTTTAATTTACTGTAGACTCTGCAGGCTCATCCTCTGCCACATCATCACATCATCTCCCTGCC